GACGTTGGTGAGTCACCATGAGGGACCTGCACATGGCCTGCCCTATGGGAAATGTTCGGAGTGTGGAAGGGAGGCTGGCCCACCAGGAGAACATTGGGGTACAGAGTGGGCAGCTATTTCAATCAGCACAGGTCCACTCAGTGGAGACTTGTCAGGGTGATAGAACCACAGGGGTACAGTTTGTTGGAAAGACTTAGTCCCAAGCCAGAATTTCCACACAGCCCAGGTGGTTCTGACCTCATGAGACCCAGAAGTCATTAAAGGCCAATAATTAAAATCCATTTCTCACAAAAGCCTTCCCCAGAGAATCAGCAGCAAAGCAGCAATTTAGCACAATCACTGAGGAAGTTCCCCCAATTTGGGGATTAACAAGAACCACAGACCAGAGACAAAGCTCTGATATTAACCAGTAAAGGCTAACACCACCAAAGAACACCTAGAAAACCTAGAAGAGGTAGCAGTCTCCTCAAATGCCTAGGAAAAAATGTAAAGACACAAAAATCAAGACAGAACAGAGAAATATGACACCAACAAAGGAAACAAATGAAGAACTGGCAATGGACCTAGAAAAACAGAGGATTTATGAAATGTCTGACAGAGAATTCGGAATAACCCTCTTAAAGATGTTCAAAGAATCACAAGAAAATACAGACATAACAGAGAAATATGACACCAACAAAGGAAACAAATGAAGAACTGGCAATGGACCTAGAAAAACAGAGGATTTATGAAATGTTTGACAGAGAATTCGGAATAACCCTCTTAAAGATGTTCAAAGAATCACAAGAAAATACAGACAGAAAACTAAATGATATATGGAAAACAATCTGGGAACAGAGTAAGAAACTTGACAAAGGAATTGAATCAATTAAAAAAAAATAGAAATTCTAGAAATAAAGAATAATTATTTGAACTGAAAACTCAAAAGAAAGCTCCAACAGCAAAGAAATTCTAGAAATAAAGAACAATTATTTGAACTGAAAACTCAAAAGAAAGCTCCAACAGCAGACTTAACCAAACAGAGGAAAGAATCAGTGAGCTCAAAGATAAAAACATATGAAATTATCAAACTAGAGAAACAAAAAGAAAGAAGAATAAGAAAAAATGAAACAGAAATACAGCAAATATGGGACTCCCTCATGCAAAATAACCTCCACATAATTGGCATACCTGAAGGAGAGGAAAAAGGAAGAGATATANTAACAGAGAAATATGACACCAACAAAGGAAACAAATGAAGAACTGGCAATGGACCTAGAAAAACAGAGGATTTATGAAATGTTTGACAGAGAATTCGGAATAACCCTCTTAAAGATGTTCAAAGAATCACAAGAAAATACAGACAGAAAACTAAATGATATATGGAAAACAATCTGGGAACAGAGTAAGAAACTTGACAAAGGAATTGAATCAATTAAAAAAAAATAGAAATTCTAGAAATAAAGAATAATTATTTGAACTGAAAACTCAAAAGAAAGCTCCAACAGCAGACTTAACCCAGCAGAGGAAAGAATCAGTGAGCTCAAAGATAAAACCATATGAAATTATCAAACTAGAGGAACAAAAAGAAAGAAGAATAAGAAAAAATGAAACAGAAATACAGCAAATATGGGACTCCCGCATGCAAAATAACCTCCACATAATTGGCATACCTGAAGGAGAGGAAAAAGGAAGAGATATAGAAAGCATATTCAAGAAAGTAGTGGCTGAAAATTTCCCAATTATGGAAAAAGATGACAGCATTTACGGACAGGAAGGTCAGAGGTCATTAGTCACAGTCAATCCAAGGAGGAACATCGCAAGGCACATCATAATCAAATTATCAGAAACTAAAGACAAAGAAAGAATACTGAAAGCAGCAAGAGAAAAAAACAAAATAAAACATATAACATTCAGTGAAGCCCCAATTGTCTCAGAGGATTTCTCAGTGGAAACCCTACAGACCAGAAGAAAATGGAGTGACATATTTAGGGTGATGAAGGAAAAAGACTGTCAGCCAAGAATTCTCTATCCAGCAAAACTAACCTTCAAATATGAAGGAGAAATAAAGTCTTTCCCAGACAAACAAAAGCTAAGGGAATTCATCAACACTAGACCTGCATGAAAAGAAATGCTAAAGGGAGTTCTTCAGTCGTAAAGAAGATGATGCTAAGGAATAGCAAGAAAACATTTGAAGGTGCATAACACATTAGTAAAGTAAGTTCACAGACAATCTCAGAATACTCCAGTGTCTAAAGGGTGGTGAATAAACTACTTACATCCTTAGTATGAAGACTAAAGGACAAACCTAACCAGATACTATCATATACAGCAATGATATTAGAGATAGGCAACATTAAAAGATGTAACTTGAAACAACAAGTTATTAAAAAGTGGCAGGGGCAGGGAAATGATGCCAAAGCATAGAATTGGCTTTGGTTTTTTATTTTTAGATATCAAAGTTAAGCTGTTATTAGTCTAAAATAATCTGTTATAATATGTTTTTTCTAAGCCTCATAGTAATCATAACACAAAAACTTATAAGAAATATACTAAAAATAAATAGCAAGAAATCAAAATGCACTGCTAGAGAAAACCACTCATTCACAAAGAAGAACGTAAGATTGGAAAAAAGGAAGAAAGGATTAACAAAGCAATCATAAAAAAAGGAAGAAAATGGGAGTAACAAGTCCCTATACATCAATAATAACTCTAAATGTAAATGGATTATATGCACCAATGAAAAGACACAGAGTAGCTCAATGGTATCTCATATTCTTGGGTTGGAAGAATTAACATCATCAAAATATCCATATTAGCCAAAGCAATCTGTACATTCAATGCAATCCCTAACAAAATATCTATTACATTCTTCACAGAAATAGAAAAAATTATCTTCGAATTTCTATAGAATCACAAAAGACCCCGTATAGCTAAAGCAATCTTGAACGAAGTTGGAGGCACCACACTTCCTGACTTCAAAATATAAAGCTATGGTAACCCAAAGCACATGGTCCTGGTGTAAAAATAGACAAATAGACCAATGGAACAGAATAGAGAGCCCAGGAATAAACCCATGCACTTACAGCCAACTGATTTTTGGCAGAGGTGCCAAGAATATAAAATGGGGAAAGGATGGGCCTCTTCAATAAATGGTGCTGGGAAAACTGGCTAGTCACATACACAAAATTAAAACTAGATGCCTATCTCTCACCATACACAAAAATCAACTCAAAATGGATCAAAGACCTAAATTTAAGACCCCAATCTTTAAAATTACTAGAAGAAAACAGGGAAATAATACACGGAATAGGAGTGGGCAGCACTTTTTTGAATGAGACTACAAAGACACAGACAACTAAAACAAAAATACACAAATGGAACTACATCAAACTGAAAACCTTCTGCATAACATCTGGAACTCTATCAACAACGTGAAAAAACAACATACAGAATGGGAGAAAGTGTTTGTAAACCACATGTCAGACACAGGGCTAATATGCAGAATATACGAGGAACTGAAACAACTCAACAATAAAAAACAAAACAAAACAAAAAAACCCCAGTTAAAAAGTGGGCAAAGAATCTGAACAGACATTTCTTGAAAGAAGACATACAAATGGCTAACAAGCACATGGAAAATTGCTCAAAATCACTATTCATCAGGGAAATGCAAATTTAAACCACAGTAAGATTTCATTTCACCCCATTAGAATAGCTATGATTAGCAAGAGAGAAAATAACAAATGCTGGTGATGATGCAGAGAAAAGCACCTACATTATTTGTAGGAATGTAAATTGGTATAGCCATTGTGGAAAATTGTTTGGAGGTTCCTCAGAGAACTAAAAATAGATCTACCTTATGATCCAGCAATTCCACTACAGGTTATATACCCAAAGGAAATGAAATCAATACATCAGAAATACACCTGCACTCTCATGTTTATCACAACACTATTCACAATAGATAGGAGATGGAATCAACCTAAATGCCCATCAGTGGATGAATGGATTAAAAAAAACTGGTATTATACACAATAGAATAGTATTCAGTGATAAAACAAATGAAATTCTGTCATTTGCAGCAACATGGATGGAACTGGAAAACATCACATTAAGTAAGTCAAGCACAGAAGGACAAATGCTACATGATCTCAGTCCTATGTGGAAGAGAAAAAAAAAAAGAGGTTTTCATAGAAGTAGGGAGTAGAATAGTGAGTACCAGAGGCCAGGAGGGGACAGAGTGGGGGAAGGAGAAGTCGTGGACTAACAGGTACAAAATTATGCTATCTACACTAAGTGAGTCATTGTGCAGTATATGCATGTATTGAAACAACACACTGTACCCCATAAATATGTACATGTAAATGTTAAAATTTTTTACACTAAGTGAGTCATTGTGCAGTATATGCATGTATTGAAACAACACACTGTACCCCATAACTATGTACATGTAAATGTTAAAATTTTTAAAAAATGATGGGAATGCTTCAGCAGGGAAAACACTAAAGATTCAAGAGAGAAGAGAATTGTAGGAGTATGTCTTTGAATAGAGAAGAGTTGACAGGATCAAGTATTCAGAAGAGGAATTGACCTCAGCTAGAAGCAAAGGCAGTTAATTCGTGGTAGAGGAGAGAAGGCCACCCATAGATGTGTAGGTGGGCAGATATGTTGGTGGGAGATGGTGGATGTTCTCTGTTTTGCTCATCATATGAGAGTGAGGATGGCAGGAGGTTTTGGAAGTCTGAAGAGAGAGGAAAAAGTATGAATTATGAGTCTAAGGGGGTATGACAGGGAAATCTGGAATGACTGCTGGGCAGCATTAAGTGCCCACTTGAGATTAGTGGGCATGGGTTTAATGTGAGACCAGACAGCCAGCACTGTTGTGTGTTTTCCTCCGGCCACTTGCAGCTGCACTGTTGTCGGCAGGGAACAGGCAACAAAGTGGGTTGACAGATAACTTGACATGTTAATAGTTTAGCAGACAAGTAATATTCTGCTCTATGTTCCTCATTTCTCAGGTGGCTAAATGGTTTTAATTGGGAGGGACTGAAAGCACGGAACCTTCCATCACCTTTACGAAGAGAGGTATGGTATTTCCTATATTACTCTCTTGGTTTTTTTTTTTTCAGGGATTTATTTTTGTAAGCAGATTTTGGGGGCAATTTTTGTGTGTGTGTAACTGATCTTAGGTGATTTTTTAAAAGTTTTTTTTTCAACTAAGTGAAAATGTCATAGTAATTGTGACTATAGGGGGTGAGTAGTATTGCCTATTTAACAGGCATTGGCTCACCTGTCAGGAACCAATTACATGTCAATGCCACCTAAGTCCCAAAGTACTCCTCATTGGTCAGGCTGACAGATGACTCTAGAAATATAATGTGAACCATATATGTAATTTAAAAATTTTTTGTAACCACATTGAAAAAGTATAAAGAAATTGGCAAAATTAATTTTATCTGTTTATCATAATATATCCAAAATACAGGTTGAGTACCCCTTATCCGAAATGCTTGGAACCAGAAGTGTTTTGGATTCTGGAATATTTGCATGTACATAATGAGATATTTTAAGGATGTGACCCAAGTCTAAACACAAAATTCATTTATCTTTTGTATATACCTTATATACATAGCCTAAAGGTAATTTTATACAATATTTTAAATAATTTTGCATGTGCCACAAACTTTGGGTACAGTGAACCATCAGAAAGCAAAGGTGTGGAATTTTCCACTGTGGCATCTTGTCTGTACTCAAATAGTTAAGGATTTTGGAATGTTTCACATTTTGGATTAGCAATAATTTCTCATTCTGAGAAAGTCAGCTGTATATAATAATCTGTATTATTATTTTAATATGTAATCAATGTATTAATGAGATATGCTACATTTATTTTTTCATACTCAATTGTAAAAATCCCAAGTGAATTTTCTCTTACAGCACATCTCTATTTGGATGAGCCACATTTCAAGTGCTCAGTCACCACATGTTGCTAGTGGTTATTACCTTATTGGACAGCGTAGCTCTAGGGGAAGCATAACATCAGCTAATGTGGGGGGAAGAATGACTCAGGAATGATCTAGGTCAGCACCCTACCAACTTTATGCCAGTGTTCTCTCTAAAAGAGTTGTGAAGATCTACGTCTCCTCTTACACATTTGTGTTGATATCTGAATTGTTTAATTAAAGTATAAATAGTTGTGGAGAATGTAATTTCAGGTATGTTATAACTATTGACATTTTAAAATAAACAATTACTGTTACTTAATTTCTTTAAATATATCTACTGTAATCTAAATACCATTGAGATTTAATACCCATAGGCCATTTAAAAAATACAGATGGAAATATTATATCACTCTTTTTTCTCCCTATATATCCATTCCATTTTCTCTTTAAAATTTCATCCTAATGGAAAATATTTTGATGCTTGACAGTCTTTCCTGATCATTCTTTAAGCATCTTTAAATTTTAGTTATACGGTTTTAAAAATTTCTGGAACAACAGAAATTTTTGTGGTAACACAAAGGCTTCTTATACCATTCAGTGTCAAATGACATAAATATGTTGCAAATTTCTAAAGGTAATTATTAAATAAGTTTTTTTGAGAAAAAAATTATTTTATGTACTTGTGGATAAATATTATTTATTCAAAACATGGAATCAGATTCAGCATCAATTCTATTCCTTTTTAAAACGGTCATTATATAGATACAAGTGTTAAGAGTTCTGTTCACATAAATAAGTGAGAATGGAAGGTTTTATGGCAATGGCAGTTTGAGCTCTTTCTGACTGATCTGCCCTTCAACACATTATGATTATCATAAATAGTATTTTTAATAATCTGTCAGCTGATAATTCAATTAGGTACTACTTAAATTTGTTTGAAAGCAAAGAATTGGAAAACCTGATCTGCAAAATAATTTAATACCAGAGTCATTTCACTCCTTCAAAGGGTCACTAATATTTTGAATTGTCTCTTCATTTAGTATTCTGGTAAATTTTATATGGATCAATATAAAATTATATTATAACATAATTATATTAACCATGTAAATATTCAAGATTGGTGAGAAACTTTTACAAAGAAGAAGAAGGACTATGGCAAATTTTCATCTTCTAATATTTGCTTTTTAAATATTTTTCAATTTAGAAAAAGTAGACATAATTTCTGTCACCTTTTCTTTAGGAAATAACTCTTCATGCAAGGTAGCTCCTATTGAATGTAATCCAGTGACCAAATCCATTTGGTTCTAAAGGGGAGATCTCATGAGGCTCAGATGTGACTCTAGAATAATAATTGGTCATCTTTTCCTTGTATGTAACTTACAGGTAGTGGTAATATGAAATCAGTGTTCAGATATAAAATCATTGCTCATACGTAATAACAGGTTTAATCAACATTATCCTCACCTTTGTTTTAATTCTTTCTACATTAGCTTAGCGGACCCATAGATCACAGCTACTTTGACAAGTATCCTCCTGAAAAGGGAATACCTCCGGATGAGCTGTCAGGCTGGGATAAAGACTTCTGACAGAAGAAAAGATGGTACTGCCTATACGCTATGGAAGACGACTGTGAGGCTCAGTAATCCAACATTGATTATTTCTCCCTTCCAAGTACTATGATATCTTTTGGAAGACCGTTAGGGAAAAGAAATTCCTGCACAGAAGGTGGAGAAGAGTGCTGCAGATGTGGTTTTGAATTATAATGTCTCCTTTAGATGCTGTGAATTATTCATGTATTCCATTATTTGCTTTTCTTAAATGTTGAGGGCTGTCCCATTCCCCTGTCCACAATCAGAACCATTTTTGTTGAAGAGGCTTAGTTTTCTTTGCAGTCTATGGCTCCATCCCGATCATACTCTTCTCCTTTGATTTCTAAGGTTTAAAAAGGGTCTTGCCCTTGAACAACTAAGTCATGCAAATAGAAGGAAGGACAAGGCTGAATTGTGGAATTTTTCCCCAACTTGCAACAACTCCATTTAAGCATTATGGCATTTTTAAATGGTGGTTTGCAAAAATCATGGAACTCAGCAGAAGCTCTTCACTTTCATGGTTACTTAGTCTAGAAATATGCTAATATGCTTCTGATACTAGTCTGGGGGAAGGCAAGTTTGGGTATTATTCAGTACCTCTTCCTAAAGTAAATGAGTCAATTAATCCAACCAGGTAATTATTCTCTATTGGGGAACTGAGAAAAAAATAAATAAAGCAAAAAACCATTTTTCCTTTTTCTGTGATCAGCTGTGATACCTCAGAGACTTTTCAAAAACCTTGCTAAATGTGGTTTTAATGTGTGGTTAAATGAGGAGCCTTTGGAAAGATTTTATCTTATATACTAAAATGTTTTCACAACCAAAGTAGAAAATAAGCTGGAATAAAATTATGAAGGCTTTTTATCCCCCCATTTAATACAAAAGAGAATAAATTCTAATTGGTAAGGTTTCTGACTTTGAAACTCGGAGATATTTTGGCCAATTCTGTGATTGTTGCTATTAATAAACCAAAAGAGTTTAGAATAACCACAGTTAATTTTTAATGCAAATTCTGTTGGCAAAAGTTGATGCACTATAATCCCTGCTGAGTTAATAGCTCTTTTTAAAGACATTTGAGTCATGGATGTGTTTATAATTTTTGATTGTTAAGACAGGCAAACTATGGGAGAAGTGATAGGATTTTAGAAGTAAAGGGAATATCCAGCATCTGACCTCCTACTGTCTCCTTGCAGTCTTTCAAATGATAGATAGTTTCAATAGTATTGGACCCTAGTACCTAAGAACTTTGCTAGTGAATGTTTACATGTATTGACCATGGTCACTGCCTTCCCTTCCCTCCAGAGTGAATGGGAAGCAGAGCTTTCTCTGTATCTTTTTAATCTGGCAGCATAAAAATAACATCTATGTTCTGCCATTATTCAAGCTTCTGGTTATATTTTCATATGATAATATTCTATGTGAAAAGCAACCTCTACCCAGTTTCCACCCATAATTTCATCATTCTGAGAAGTCTGCTATATACTTCCTGAGGAATTAAACTAGAGAAATGTGACAACCCAAGAAGGTGCATCCTTAATAAATTGAATTTCCACATTTAGAATCCTTTTGCTGAACCAAAGAGTTTTTGTTTCCTGGAGTAGTGTTTTTAAAGATTATGTATTGTATATAGAAGAACCATTTTTAATAGGATTGACATAACCTGCTGAAAGAATTTCTAAGATTTTTAAAAGATTTTTATTTGCATTTGGTTGGTTTGTACTATATGTTTTTCCATGTATATATTTTTAAATTACCAACCTATAATGGTAGGAAATTTATGTACTGGGTGGATGTTAGAACTGTACAGTTATAATAGCAATGATATTCTCAAAGGGCAAGTATAGTTGTAATTAAAAAAAAACAAACAAACCCTACATATACAGAAATAAAAAACAACTTAGAGTACTATAGGTTTATTTTGCCTGTGATTGGCCATATCAATATGTAATCCCCACATGTGATTTTGTTGTGTTTTCTTTATAAAGATGTAGAAATAAGAGATTGAACCATCATATCATCCCAACTCCACTATTTCCTAGCTGGGTGACCTTAGGAAAATGACTTAGCTTTTTTGGTACTAGCTTTCTAACCTGTAGAAAAGCCACGGCAAAGTAATACTTTAGAGGCTTGTTTCATGGATCAAGATATGTAGAGAGTCCTTTGCCTGGTATCTGTGAAATAATCAGTGCTGCATATTTGGGAGCTACTGTTACTATCTTTTTTAAAGTCAAAAGGGCCTTAATTACCATTTAGTCCTGAACCTTATGTATCATTGTTACCTGTATGTAGAATTGTACCAATTAAATCCAGTATCTCTCTTTTCTTTTTCTTTTAAATCACAAAGTAAAGATGGTTCATCAAACTTCAGTGTATTGGATGAAGGGTTCACCCTCACCAAAATGAAGTGCTTTATTAAGCTAACCTATATTTTAATTTTTATGAATTAAGGAGATACATACATGCACACAGACACCCATACACATAAGGAAATACAGAAAATTATCCTCATAAATATAATCCCATCATATTCCTAGTCATTTAATCATTCCTAATCTCTATTTCCTAGGATGTAAAGTGAGTTTTTAATTCTTGAGCTTCTACCATGTGGAGCCAGAAAATTATCCTCATAAATATAATCCCATCATATTCCTAGTCATTTAATCATTCCTAATCTCTCTTTCCTAGGATGTAAAGTGAGTTTTTAATTCTTGAGCTTCTACCATGTGGAGCCAGCTTTTCATAATTGTAGTTTTTTAATCTTTTCTCTAAGTATTAAAATGTCTGAAGGGAGAAGAATGTAGTAGTGAAAAATAAGAGATTTGTAGTCAAAAAAGATCAGGGTTTGATTTCCAGCCCTGCCCAGATTTGTATGATCTTGAATAATAAATCACATCTTTATTCATCTGGAGATGTACATTTAAAGCTTTGAAACATTGGGCCAGAATGTTATTATTAATAGGTCATTGATAATAATTGTTTGAAAATAAATATATACATATATTTCTTTTGGCATAATAATAAATCCTTGTTCTTTATTGTCAGGCATTGTACTAGGAGTATTTGCACAAAAGATTCTAAAATTATAAACACACTGTTGACTGACCTCAAAGCTAAAAATTAGCCTCAAATATGCATTTCATTCACAATGTATCTGTGATGGTTTTGCAAAGCTTAGTCCTAGTTACCATGACTGTATAACAAAGTACCACAAAACGCAGTCACTTAGAAAAATCATTTTGTTATTCTCCTAGATTCTGTGGGTCAGGAATTCAGACAACACATGGCAAGGATGGCTTATCTCTGGACCACAGTATCTGGAGAATGATGTGGAAAGACTCAAAGACTCGGGGTGATTCACTGGCTGGGGCTAGAATTACCTGAAATCTTGTCCACTCACACACCTGGTGCGGAAGCTGGGACTACTCACAAACTAGGACTATGGACCAGGTTGCCTACACATGCCTTCTCCATGCCTTGGATTCTTCACATCATGACATTCTTGAACTAGTCAAAATCCTTTCATGGCAGCAGAGGTCTACAAGAGCGAGTATTCTAGCCAACAAGGCAGGAGCTATACTATCCATTATGAATTAGTCTTAGAAGTCACATACATCACTTCTGCCACACTCTATTGGTGGAAACACAAGACCACTCAGATTTGAGAGGTGGAAACATAGCCTCAACTTCTTAATGAAGACTGTTTTAGAGAATTTGCAAGCAAGTTTTAGAACTGCCATAATCCCCACATATTACTTATGTTATTTCCATATGCAAAACAAATTCATTCCCTCCCAAGAGCCTTCCCCAAAATATCAGTAGGCTCATATTCAGGATTCAGGTTCTTGTCATCTAAATCCCATTTGGGTATGGATGATGCACCTTAGCTGTAATTCCTTGGATACATTCTTTTAGGTCTGAAAGCCTGAGAAATAAGTAAACAAGTCATCTGCCCCAACATTCACAACACTGAATGGTGAAACAAACAAAAGGAGAACCACAACAGATATTTGCTTTAGGAAAGGGAGAAAATTGGAGACACAAAGCAGTAGTCATCTATAGTAAATCTAAAACTTGCCCTGACATATGTTACCATTTCTCTGCTTAGGGCTTGGTCCTACTCCCTGTGAGTTGTTCTCCTCAGCTCTTGGGCTCCACCATCTCAGTTCTGTCTTCTGAGCCATCCTTTCTTTTCCGTAAGATTGATTTAGCTGGTACTGGCAACTGAGTAGACTTATTAGTCACTTTCCTGCCTATAAAAGTTTGATGGGAGAAATGCTTCTTTTTGGTTTGTCTGTATCTGTCTCTTTATTCCAAGCTGATACATTTCCTTTAAAAACTTTGTGAATTTCATGTGTATGAATTCATAATCCTCTTCATTAGATGAAAGCCACAGTTATAAATCTTTTCTGTAAAGATGCTGTGAGAAAATTCTCTTAAGATTCTTAGAAGTTCAATTTTTTAAAAGAGGATCACATATACTTATGATACTTCAAAGATCTGTTTGAACGGGTGTGGTAGGCAGCTTCAGAGATGACTTCCAATTCTCCCTGCTTGTAGTATTCATGCCCTTTTACAATCCCCTCCTCTTGAGTGATTTCCTTCTAACAAACAGAATATAAAAAAATCAATGGGATGTCACTTCTGAGATTAGATTACAAAGTCACTCTGCTCCTGTTCTGCTCACTGTCTCTTACTCTCTCATCCGCTTATTCTGATGGAAGCCAGCTGTCACAATGTGAGCTTCCCTACGGAAAAGCCCATGTGTGGAAAATAACTGAGGGAGTCTCTGGCCAACAGCCCATGAGGAAACGAGATCCTCAGTCTGACAACCTGTAATGAAACAAATCCTGCCAACAACTACCTAATTAACTTTGGAAGCAGATCCTCCCTCCAGTTGAGTCTTCAGATGAGGCTGCAGCCCCAGCTAATACTTTGACTACAAGTACATGAACCAGATAAACTACTCCCAAATTCCTGACCCACAGAAACACAAATTTCTGTGTCAGGTTTTTTCAACTACTAAGTTGGGAAGGAAAGATGACATAAAGTGGGGGCAGCAAGAACAAAGTGGACACAAGAGAACAAATTTGATTCCTTGAGGAAAAAATGGAATTTGTGGTAACAAACCAAAACCCATGAGGACAAACTGGAACCTGAATCAAAGTGGGGGCAGCAAGAACAAAGTGGACACAAGAGAACAAATTTGATTCCTTGAGGAAAAAAATGGAATTTGTGGTAACAAACCAAAACCCATGAGGACAAACTGGAACCTGAATCAGTCTTTCATGGTTGCCAACCTTGGTCATACAGGTGAACTGCAGGACAAGCTGGCATCTCTCACATAAACCTGCCTTAGGATGTGAAGATGCTGAAGGAGACATAGGCTTGGCTGCTGCTGTATACCAAGAAGGTGAGCCAGCAGATCAGCAACAATGTGTATGAGCTGCAGCAGAGCTTGCTCTTCTGACCTCCAGAGCACAAATTTAGTTGCTTCTCACATCTGCCTTTCAGATCGTATGCACATTTCTCTTGTGGAAAGGCTTTTCTCAGAACTATACTGA